TCGGTCCCACGGGATACGTCCAGTTCTTGTACGGGAGGAGATGTTCCAGGTTCTGTTTGCGGATGGCGGCGCGGAAGCGTAGGGAGGCGAGGCCGATGAAGGTCCAGGAGAGTTGGTTGGAGACGCCGACGATACTGTTGAATAATGTTAGTATTTAATGGGTTTATTTGGAAAAGATGGAGGGGGGGCATACTTTTGCAGCCATGACCATAGTTGGCCTGCGCCAATGTAGCTCGCTCCGAAGCAGAGTCCACTGATTACGGAGGTGGCGAGGACTGCTACCCAGGGGACTTGGAAGCGGTTCAGGTGGCCGAAGAATCGTGGCGCGTAGCCGTCTACGGCGAGGGTGTAGAGAAGACGGGAGCCGGCGAAGAGGGCGTGGTTGGCGGCGGAGATGACGCTGGTCATGATCACGGCGTTGATGAAGCTGCCGGCGACGGCGCTGCCGGCTTCAACGAAGACGATGGTGAAGGGGCTGGTCGCGGTGGTTTCGGAGGATAGGTTAGGGTAGTTGTAGGGGACGTCGAGGCCGATGAGGACGATGGAGACGATGTAGAAGAGGATGATGCGCCAGAAGACGTTGCGGACGACTCGGGGGAGGTTCTTGGCGGGGTCTTTGGTTTCACCGGCGGTGATGGCGATGGATTCGGTGCCGCCGCTGTGAAGTGGTTAGTAGGGGTCTTGGTGAGAAGGTGGAGGGTAACGTACTAGGCGAAAGAGGCAGTGACGAAGACAGACGCGAAGCCGCCGATGCCTCCGACGAAGGGGGCTTCGCCTGTGTAGAAGTACTTGTTGCCGATGTATTTATGCTGGGTGTTTGCACCGCAGTTGACGACGATGCCGAGGATGATGAAGATCTAGCTTTGATTAGTATGTTGTCGAAATTTGGTAGAAGTAGGGGACATACGATGATAGTCACCACCTTGAGAAGACTAAGCCAGTATTCAACCTGAAGATAGTCAGCATATGTGAGTCTACTTGATAGCTGTAACAAACCTCGCCATAAACCTTGACCGACAGCATATTCAGGGCAATAACCACAACCAAAAAGATCAAGCTTATCGCCCAACCCGGGAAATTATCCGTCCAATACTCCAGGAGCAACTGAAGCGCAATAATATCCGACGCCGTCGACACCGCATCGTTGAACCAGTAGTTCCAGGTCAGAGCAAAGCCCAGAGCATCATCAACAAAACGACTATATCATCATCAGCATACCATCATTCACAAGCCGCAAGACCAACTACTCACCCAGCAAAAGTACAAAACGAACCCGCAACCGGGATGAACGCCGCCATCTCACCCAGCGACAACATGGTGATAAACACAATGACACCACAGATGGTATACGAGATCAACATCGACGCCGGCCCACCAGTGGCCAGCGCCTTACCCGTTCCCAGGAACAGACCCGTACCAATGGTGCCGCCGATGGCGATCATCTGCACCTGGCGGGGAGAGAGCTTCCGGGCCAGCTTATTCGCATTGACATATGGAATCTCTGGCTCCAGATAATCGGTAGCTAAGGTGCTGGGGTCCTTGGCATTACGCTCAGCCATAGGCTCGCCAGGAGCCATAGAGCATTGCTTTTCGATATCATGAACACCCATGGTGGTGGTGATCTAGATGCTAAGAGGGCCATGTTAGCTTAGCTATGTCCTACAATGGGAGATATCGGAAGTATGCCGAGACTCACCGATGATTTAGATTTGAACCAGTCAATCTCAGCCTTATAGTTAAGCTCTTCCCGAATAGGCAAGTGCTGGAGACTGGGAGGAGAGACACCACGTGATCCACCGTGGAGAAGCTCAAAAACCGGCAGCCAAAAGTGGAAACTGAAACTACTAGTGATCTAAGTTGTAGATACTAGCAGTAGTGTCTGCATGGCACGCATGAACGAAATAGATGTTATCAAAGGGAAGAGTGCATCCCCAAGAATGACACTCATATCGCCATCACATCCTGACGCTGAAAATTTGCTCTTTAGCGGATGGCGTGCTCGATTGTTGTTACGTACAGCAAATGGAAGGGCGAGGGAATCCTTGGGGTGGAAGAGACGGTTTGCCGACTGCCGCCCTGGGGGTTCTCCACCCGCTCGGCTAACTTTAACCATACTTACATTACCTTTTAGAAGCAGCTTTTACACCTAAGTATAATAGTTACTACAATATCACCACAATCTATCAATCGATCAATCAATCAAGAAATTTCCCCAAGGATAATTGTATCGTGCTATGTACATGGCTACGCTGCCGGAATCTCATAAACTTTTGACACTCTCCGCTGATGAACAATGAAAGAAACTGAGACAGAAAGGGATATATCCACCAAAGACATAAGAATGTATACACTTCAAAATCACCCCAGCAAGCCCGCAGCCAGCGACTCCAGATCTTCCAGAGTCTCGATCTGCTCCGGTGCTTTGCCAGCCGGTTGAGACTTCTTGGCCTTCTTGGGTTTGGGCTCCTCCTCGCTCGCTTCGTCTGCAAAGGAAACCCGCGCCTTCTTGCTGGGCCGGAGGACTTCCTCGTCTTCGTCCGAGGCGAGCCCGCCCTCCTTGTACGGAATCTGGACCAGATCCCCTCCTTCCTCCTCCATGGCAAGAAGCTCGCGCTCGCGGGCCTTGCGCTTCTCCTTCTTCTCGCGCTTCTTCTGCTTGGCGACTTCCTTGTCCTCCAGATCCGCTTGCCGAGTGCGCTCCGCCTCCTCCGCCAGGAACTTCGCCTGCTGCTCCTTGGCGTCGCCCTTGGCCTTGAACTGTTCTTCATCCTCCATTTCGTAGATCTCATGGGCGTTGCCCTCATCATCGTAGATAAGCTTGGTACCCTTGCCCTTGAACTTAAGCAACTTCTTCTTCGACTTGAGCAGCTTCTCACGACGTTTAGAGTCGATGACCAGGGCGTCCTTGCCATCAAGGTGTACCACCTTGGGTCCCTTCTTCTCCGTTCCGTCCTCTGCATCCTCCTCATCCTCGGAGCTAGATCCTGCGACATCCAGGTCCTTGTCTCCGGCCGCGAAGCGACGCTTGACGGACAGGAAGTCGTCATCCTCATCCGCATCCGCAGTAGCCTGATTCGTCTCCACAATCGTGCCGTCGTCGTTGATAAGCTTGTGGTAATGGTCGGCCAACACGTCCTGATTCCGACGCTCGAACATACGATCATACTTCGTCCGCACCTGCGTCTCATCCTTCTTGCTCTTCTTCTTCTCGCCCTCTTCGCCAGACTCGTCATCGCTGGACAGGTATGCCGTAGCACGTGGCGCGTTCTTCCGCTCCTTGGTATCGTCACCCTTGATGAACTTGATGCGGGGTGCACCAGGAAGACCCATGCTGCCCGCAAACTCATCCAGCTTCAGCTCCTTGATGTTGAAAATTTCCTTGTCCTTCTGAACGTAGACCGACTTGGCGTAGGAGATGAAGGCCTTCTGGCCCAGGTACTTCAACTCGGGGTCCTTGAAGCACATATTCTGCAGCTGATCTTTGATGCTCTGTTGCTTGTTGGCCTTGATGTTGATGCGTTCGACCTGAACCTTCTTCTGCTCCAGACGCTTCAACATGCCCTTCTCCTCACTAGGATCCAGGAACAGCACGGCACGACCATCGCGCTCGTATCTTGCTGTACGACCAACACGGTGAATGTATGTATCAGCGTCTTCGGGACAGTCAAGCTGGATAACCCAGTCGACGGCCGGGAAATCCAGACCACGTGCAGCAACATCAGTGGCGAACAGAACCGCATGTTGCGCCGAAGAGAACTTGGTTGTAATATCGAGTCGACCACCCTGCTTCTGACGTCCGTGGAGGTGCATCAACGGGATACCGGGTTGCATGTGACGGAAAGATTCGTAGACAAAGCGCACCTGCTTTCCTGACGACAGGAACACGATCGTCTTGGACTTCAAGTTGCTGCGAATGAAACTCCAGAGAACATCGAGTTTTTGCGGAAGGGGCGTAACGACGTAGTGTTGCTGAAGCTTGGACGGCGTCGCGGAGGAGGCCGTTTCATGAACAGCCACATATTCGGGGTCCTGCAAGCTCAGTCGAGCCAAGTCCGACACCTTCTTCGTCTGTGTAGCACTGAAAAGTAACGTCTGGCGCTCCTTCGGAAGATGACCGATAATGGCGTCCACCGTCTTCTGAAAACCCATATCCAAAATGCGATCCGCCTCATCCAACACGAGCATCTGCAGGTTGTGCGTCTCAAAGAAAGAAGTCTGATCCAAGTGCTGCAACATACGACCAGGCGTACACACCAGAATATTCATCCGTCCCAACCTCTCTTGCTCCTCCCGCAGACTCTTCCCACCAATAACCAGACCGGCGGAGAACGTGTGATAGCGACCGACTTTACGGAGGACTTCGAAGATCTGAATCGCGAGTTCGCGGGTAGGAGACAGAACCAGAGCACCCAATCCATCGTGCTCTGACCACTGCTTGCGGTATAGGTTTTCCAGGATGGGAATCAGGAAGGCCAGCGTTTTGCCGCTTCCCGTCTTTGCGGCTCCCAGAATATCGCGGCCCTTGAGCGCATGGCTGATCGCACGGGACTGAATGTCGGTCAAGGTTTTGTAGTGAGACGAGGCAAGTCCGGACGCGGTGGGTTCAGACAAAGGCAGATCGGTGAATTGTCCGATGGTTTCCTTGACATCCAAATCTTCGACCCTTTTGATGAGAGAGTTCAAATCTTCTTGGACACGCTTGCGCTTGAGGTTACCGCCGCGCTGAGCCTTTGAGTGTTTGCCATTGCGGGAGCCGTTCATCGGAGCCATGATGGGCTCGTCCAGATAAAATACTCACGTTAATGAGCACCAACGAAGGAAAGCAGACAAACGAAAGTGGACTGGTTGCTGGGGAGAGAAAGCGAATCTCGAAGAAAGGCGCGGGCGGTGAAGCAACTTTTTTCTCTTCGGAGTTTAACCTCGCGGGTTCCTGCTGACTCATCACCGCGATAAGACGGCGCTTATCGGCGTGTGCCTTTCAGCAGCCATGCGACAGTCCCGACCCGGCGAATTCCTTCATTCACTCCCCAACCTCTGTCACCATGGCCGACGATGAGCAAGATGCTTTGGACGCGCTTGAGCGTGAGGCCTCTGACTTTGTCAAGGTATGCTGCCTCGGAACATTTCCACTACAATGACACCCAGACTAACTTTAGACAGGATGCAGAAATTGACCGCATTCGGAAGGCGTTCTCCTTAGACGCGTGAGTTCCGGCCTCCTACTATACCTACTTGGCATGCTGCTATAGACATATGAAAGGGCTGACAGACGGAATATTCAACCAGCTACGCGGTCCTTGATCTCCAACCAGGTGTCCCCGAATCCGACATCAAAGTCCAGTACCGCAAAAAGTCCCTTCTCATCCACCCCGATAAGACGAAGAACCCGGCCGCCCCCGATGCCTTTGATCGCCTCAAGAAAGCGCACACGGCACTTATGGACGAAAAGTCGCGCACATACCTAGACGAATGTATCGCGGACGCGCGACGACTTTTGATCCGCGAACACAAGTACTCGCTAGATTCGGAAGAGCTAAAGACAGACGAATTCAAGAAAGAATGGCGCCAAAAGACAGTGCAGGTACTCTTAGAAGAGGAGGCACGGCGGCGAAGACAAGCCAAGGCCAAGCTTCAGGAAGAAGGTCGGGAGAGGCGCAAGGAAGAAGAGGAGTTGGAGGCGCGGAAGCGGAAACGGGACCAGGATAAAGCGTGGGAAGATAGCCGTGAGGAGCGCATTGGCAGCTGGCGAGATTGGCAGAAGGGGGTGAAGAAGGATGGGGACAAGAAAAAGAAAAAGAAGATGAAGGTATTGGGGTGAAACTGGGCAGGTGTGCCAGTTGCCTGCAAGACTTGCGCAGCGGTAGAAGTATTTGAACTTGGTCAACTGGCGTTGAGCGGATATATTTGCACCCGGGACGGACTGGTGATCATAACATCACCATGATTATATTGCTATTTACCACTACTGTTCTTTCATACCATTGATTATTAGTAACTGTCTGCCACATTACTCATAGCTCTCAATCTTTTTGACGTCAATTGTCATCCACTCGAATATAAACTCTGCTGTTTACTTGATTTTCTGCATAGAATAGTAATATCAGCCGCGATAAGAAAGCGGTCAAGGCCGATGCGGGGCAGAAAGAACATTCCAGCGCCTTTTTTATTATCTTCCCCTCCATCGCTCGGGTTCATGTGGCCTCTCCGCAATCATCCGTCGTGTCTGAGAGCTGCATTTTTGAGAATTGTTTGGAATTGCATGTGTCTCATCCCTATATATTTGTCCCTCTTATCTTTACCATTCTCGTCCGATAGAAAGACATACACCCTTGCGTTGCACCCCCGGACCCTTTCCCGACAGATAAACCACACAGCCAGCCGGCTTACATCAATCCCTCTCTTTCCCCCCCCCCCCCCCGGGAGTCATCGCATCCACTCCATACCCTAGCTACTAACTAGTACTACTCCAACCACCTCAACCTCACTTCTTCCCTTCCCTTCTTCCTTTTCTCATCCATATATATACACATACACATACACATCGACTCCCTCCCACCACGACAATCAACCAATCAATTACCCACCATGACCGACTCAATACCACCCACACCCAATGGCCTACCCACCAGCAGCACCAGCAGCACCAGCAACACATCAACATCACCACAAACGACCACAACCGACACAAACACATTCCCACCCACAACAACCCCCTCCCTATCCAGCATAATCACCCACTGCCACACCAAAATCCACACCTTCCTCTCCGAATCCCACCCAGCCGACTCCCTCCTGGCCAAAGTCCAACATCAAACCCGCACCTCCCTCAACGTCATCTCCACCGCCCTCCACCGGTACCCTCTCAACGAGCTCTCCCTCTCCTACAACGGCGGCAAAGACTGTCTCGTGCTCCTCGTCCTCTTCCTCGCCAGCCTCCACCCCCACCCCGCCCCGGAAGACGGCGGCCTCACCTCCATCCCCGCGATCTACGCCCTCCCGCCGGACCCCTTCCCAGACGTCGAGGAATTCGTCCAATGGTCCGCCCGCGCATACCATCTCAACGTACTCAAATACACGACGGACCCGCCGCGCTCAACAATCAAATCCACCTTTGAGGATTACCTGTTCGTCAACCCGGGAGTGAAAGCGATTTTTGTTGGAACGAGACGGACGGATCCCCATGGTGCTAAATTGACCCATTTCGATCGCACGGATAGTGGATGGCCGGATTTTGTGCGCGTGCATCCTGTGATTGATTGGCATTATGCGGAGATTTGGGCCTTTATTCGCCATTTGGGGTTGAGGTATTGTGGGCTTTATGATAGAGGATATACGAGTTTGGGGGGTACTGCGGATACGCATCCGAATCCGAAGTTGAGGGTCGAGGTGGATGGTGATGATGCTGGGGAGGAAGTGGAGGAGGGGCGGTATAGGCCTGCTTATGAGTTGACGGAGGATTTGGAGGAGCGGTTGGGACGCAATTGATTGTTTGCGGCAGTGTCGATGTTGGTTTTGGCCGTTGTCTGAGTCGAGGATACTCGTCGTCCGCTCAATGCTCCCTTCTCCGTGTATAGACCTGTTTTGGGGGTCAGTCCCCATGTACTCTTTGCCTCCCCTCCTATACCGATGTGTTTCCCCGCATGTCACTCCTGAGCGTTTCACTCTCTTCTCTCGTGTTTCACCATTACTATCCGATAGATGCATACACTGGCTGCATGTCTTCAACTTGTTTGGCTTACATTCGGCACCGTGATGGTCGCAGTTGCATAACGCTTTCCATTGACAAATTGTAGACTGCGCTGATAACTTGATGCTAAGAGCTAAACATGCATGGCTAGGCAAATGCTAAAGTACCACTTATGTCCTCCCAACCTGTGAATTCCCTCTCGCCGTAAACCTTTGGCCTCCAGGGTCCAGCGGTAACAGATACAGACCTTTAAATCGGCATCACTCTGCGAATCATAGAATCACTGGTCTCATCAAGAAATCAAGAACAGATAACAAAACCCTTACAACCTACAAAAGCTCGATACCAGCACAAAACTTCGAAATGGGCAACAGTTAGAAAGGGGAAACAAAATCATATGTTAGTCAACCATGCACCATTGTAAGATATGCGGGCTCTGACGGATAGTTGGACAGCCTGCTGTGTTCGTCGAAGATGCTTCATGGAAGGGCAAAAAGGCGACCCGTGCAAATACCAAAAGTCGCTCCTGAGAGTTGCAACACTTGGTGTTTGTAGGAAACATTGGGAAGAGAGAGGATGCGTACGTATGGAGGACTTGGGGCACTTCAGAACCACGGTGCTGCAATCCAAGCATCACTTAGACAACCGACCGAGGCGAAGTCACAATAACCTCCCTGCGAGAGGAAATCGGAGACAAGGATCCTGCCTTGATCTCCTTACGAGGGCTGGATCTTTCGGAACGAGATTCAACGCAGGACGCGGTGGGAGTGGCGAAATTGGCCTTGGAGGAAGAGCCCGAGGAATTTTCATTCCACACTCCACGTCGTCCACGATACAAAGGTGTATTCTCCAGACCTCCTGGTCCATTGCGGGAAGTCCACGAGTTGAACCTCATGTTGCTAGCCTGACTCTTCGCCAAATACCTGCTTGTCCTGTCAGTAGAGCCCGAACGGGGTTAGATCCATGAGTGCATACGATGGGGAGATGGATGTAGCAGGAGTCCAAGCTGCGCCCATGCCAACAGGTGACACATAGCTACCCTGCGAATTGGGGCTGAGGTGAGATGCAGTCTGCTGAAGACGGTTAATAGAAGGCGATGGAGTGGAACCCTGAACTACCTCGACCGAATAATTGTATTCGCCAGCACGATAGGCGCGGCGCTCGTTACTCTGCTGCTTGAGAAGTTTCTGGGCCTTGGTGTCGGCGAAGCGAAGAAGCAACTTCACACCGTCTTTGGCAACCGCATTATGATATTCAGACAGGACTTTTTCAGCGATTTCACGGGTTTCAAACCTAGTACGAGGTCATCAGTCCAAGGATCATACCTTTCATCCGAGTGTTTTGTAACAACTACTCACCGGGCAAATCCAACTTCCTTGCTCACTCCAGTCTTCTCGTCACGGCTGATCTTCTCCGAGATGACATGGTACGGCTCAAAGTGATGACGGAGATCCTGTAGTTGTGGTCAACTTTATATGTATCATACCTTATTAGAGCTTGCTGCTTACGGCCTCTGTCCACTCAATCGGAATGTTGGTACAATAGATGTTAGTGGATGACTTGTCTTCAAGGTCCTTGAGACGGGAGTTGCGAGATTTCTAGAATTGTTAGTTGCACGGTACGATGGCTGGTAGCTTGAAATATACCTGAGCAAAGCTAGCCTGGTAGCCAAGATAGAAGAAACCACGAATGCAATTCTCACAGGACTCAAAGTTGTAGTACTGGACAAAGCCGAATCTATGGGTGCAGTCAGCACATAGCTCATCAGTCCGTGGAACAGGCTCTTGCATACCCTTTGCAAAGACCTGTATCCAAGTCCACAATCGCTTTGCATCGATCTATCTTTCCAAAGCGAGAGGCATAGGCATGCAGCATCTCATCCGTAGTCTCTGGAAGGAAGCCTCGAATGTAGACGTTGGTAATGCCCTCCCGGTTTTCCAGGCACTTGGCAAGGGTCAGTTCAGAAGGGTTAGTCCACATAGCCGGTACAGCCCGTGGAATAGGCGGATCTTGCTGGGTTAGGCTTTCCAGATCCTGAAGGATGTATCCAGTAGGAGTCTTCATCATCTGGAAAGGTAGACATGCAGGTCCCGACTGGGGAAAGCTGTTATAACCATAGCTAGGCAGTCCAGGGCCTTCCAGGTTCGGGGTGGCTCCATGGTAGAAGTCTCCTGCAGGGCTGGGAACCACTGGGCATGGGGAAGCTAAGCCCGGATAGATGCCAGTGGGGGGTAGATACGGGTTCTGATCATAAGGAAGACCTCCGAAGAAAGCTCCATTGGGGAGAAGAACAAGGGGATTATAAGGGGGCACAGCTAGCGGCATGTTGCTCTTGAGACCATTGTACTTGGCCCTGGGACGCTGACCCTGGATGTTCAAGCCCCCGAGCAGAGTGGACAGCCCACGAGTATCAGGAGCCTGAGCGGATTCAGGAACAGCAGTATGCATGGTGCCGTATCTATGCGAGTCAATCTCTGCAGTAATTGTCAGTGATGTTGGTTTGGGCACCAAAAAGGCAGATAGTGAGATGAACGTCGACACAAGATAGGTGCTTCAGACCAACAGGATTAACACTTACTTGAACCAGCAGAATAGCCGTGCGGATCGGGGGAGTTGGGATCTGTAGCGGCAGTTAGATAGGAAGCAAGATCCAAACCCCCAGATAACATAACATACACGATAATAGAGTAGCTAGGGAAGATGGAAGTAAGCCAGTACGCAACGAATGATTGGAACACGGTGAAGATGATGTGGGAGCTGAAGGAGTTGAAGGATGAAGAGGGGTCGACATCGATAGAAGGTCGCTGTTCGTAGCAACTGCCTTTCTGGAAGAGTGTGTTGAGTAGAGGCCACTCTGGGCAGGAGCATTGAAGGCACCACTTTCCTTCCGACGGAGTCGATGAAATGACGCGTCAGGAACCTGGACGTGTCCTGGGTTACCAGACCCGTTCTGGTCATCAAAGACTGAATGGTTCATGTTGGCCATGCCTATTGGGAATACTTGATGGCTGGTATCAGTAGTAGTAGTAGTAGTAGTAGTAGGATGAGACGGGTTATAGTTATCCGGTTACGGGAAGGATTAGAGATGTGGAAGAGAACAAGAATTCTATCTAGAATAGATCTACGCGGGG